GGAATTTTGGATGTGACTCTTTTCTTAGCTTCTAGGAATTTAGTTTTTCTAGGTAAATTATTATAAGGTTCTTTCAATATCAATTTAATTATTTATATAATTATTTTAATAGTTATAACTATTATATACAATTATGTTTGCAGGTGAAACAACAAACGTGAATGGGAAAGGAAATGGAAACTTTCTTGCCGGTATGGAGCTTATCGGTCACCACAACCCCGTCATTGCATCTCACTTGGAAGATGTAAGACGCCATCAACAAGATTGCTCCAGAATGAGTGCTCATTACCTCTCTCCATCGTCTCAAAATGAGTTCATCAAAGAATGTGGTGGTGTTATCCGAAGTGCAGCTGTCAAAGAAATTCAGGACAATATCTACTTCACCATTATAGTCGATGGTACCCCCGATACATCTCACACTGAGCAGATAACCTTTGTTATCGATGACGAGCTACGTTTGATTAGAAAGCTGCTGGAAGATCTTAAACGGATTAGAGGCTCTTGGTTGCAAATTTTCCAAGAGGCAGTAGCTGTAGTTGGACCGCTAGGATTCGAAACTGAACTTGCTACTAAAAGAAAGCGCAAACTAAAGCGCTTTCATAATGAGGAAACAAACACAGCCTATTTCCACGACAGCCAAATGAAAGAATTCGAAGTGAACGTTTTTAATGTTGGTTTAGATAGTCTGATCCAGCAGGTTGATTCAAGATTTGAGGCAAGCAGGATGGTTGCCAATATGTTTTCATTTAGCTGGTTAGACATGGTGATCTTTCTGTTCAAATTAAAGCTTGCGAACTTGCACAATTTTATCCGAGAGATGTCAACAAAGAGGATCTCACTGAAGAAGTTTGCCTTTTTAAAAATGCCTGCAAAACAATTTTCAAGCAAGGAAATCCACTGCAACTACTTAACCAAATTTTCGAGAAGAAGCTTGAACGTCTTTTTCCGTACATTTGCATCATGCTCGGGATTTTCAGCACTATTCCTGTGTCAGTTGCTGAGGGTCAACGATCATTTAGTAAACCTAAGATTGTAAAAAACTCTCTCCGTTCAACCATGGGCCAGGATCACGTAACTGATCTTCTGATTATTAAGAAGGTGAGCTACGGCGATGTCATCAATATTTGGGCGGCCAGAAAAGCTCAAAAAATTCATTTTTAGCGCTTTATTTACCTTTCTCGAAGATTTTATTGATTGACTTTTCGTTTATTGATTTTAAAACTAATATTTTGGTTAATGTCAGTTTTGATTAATGAACCGTTTCTCAATCCAGAGAATTAATAGTAACGCAGAAATACAATGTGCTATATTAAAAATAGATAATTGCTGTGTTCACAAAACTTTAAACTTTTAATTTCTGAGTTTGAAATAGGGGCGCCGTTCTCCATTTTTGACCCGGGCGTCTTTGTCGCTCTCGAAGGCCCTGCTTTAGACTAAAGAGAACAAAACAAACTGCAACTTCTTAACAACTTAGCAATTAATTAAACAAATTTTATTATAGAAAAACAAATAAGTAACTTTATAACTTCTTTACAATAAGATAAATACAAGCTAAAAAACTGCCCAGTGAAAAATAAAACCGCGTCCCACATGGGTTCTATGTGGGCTCCGTGTGGGATTCATGGGATTTATATGGGACGGATTCATGTGGTATCCGTATGGAATTTTGCCACTTCAAACCCATATAGGTAATCCCACATGGGTTACATGTGGGAACCATATGGTATTTACCCACATGGGAAATCCCACGTGGGTTTCTTGTGGGATTTACATGGGATTTTATTTGAAGGCTGGAAACTAAAATAATCTTAAATGTTAAAAACAACATTACATTACTTTCGCGGAAAAATTACATGCATATTGTTTTAGACTAAAAATATCTTAAATTAATCTTAAAAAATAGCAATCAAGTATGTAAGTACTACAAATAATTTGTATCTCTCTTTATCGAGAGTTTTTGTGCAAATAAAAGTATTATTAAGTTGATAATAGTTGTTTTAGTATCAGCATATATATAGTAAAAGAAATAAGTTTCACAATGAAAACATTTGTGATGACCATAGATGGGACGAATGTATATTGGGTCAATATGCCAGTTGATTAATTCATTTTTATTTTCAATTATGAACTTTTGGATAAGTTCACCAGGTTTTCTTCTGTCACTTAGTGAAGTTAGTCCAAGTATATCACATCTTGTCTTGTAATCAAGGTGCTAGAACTAATTATGTGTGAAATAAAGTCCAAGTTGAAGTCATTAATGACTTCAATTTGGCTCTTAATTAAAACTGTTCTTAACTAATAAGGCTTTTAATTACGATTGGTCTTATTATTTTAATCTATAATAAATATATATATATACATATATATATATATATATATATATATATATATATATATATATATATATATATATATATATATATATATATATATATATATATATATATATATATTTAAGGAAATGCTTGAAAAAAGTAGTTTTTCTTATTATGGTAAAAACCTTAGCATTGAGCGAGCCAATGCGATTTACTTTATTGATTGAATCGACAAAAGGCGTGTAAAGGCGAGTTTCCACTCATCCGTTATTTCACGGGAACGGGAAAGAGAAAGGAAAAATGATCACGTGGGCATGCGTATTATAAGTTTTAATTTGTCCGAATTAAAACTGCGCATGCTCAAGTGATTATTTTTCCTTTTTCTATCCCGTTTCCGTAGAAAAACGGATGAGTGGAAACTCACCTTTAACCATAGAAATTATGACTCATGAAGATTACATAATCCAGGCAATTAAAATTCATCCTAAAGTTATGTTTTGGTTGGTTATTAGTGAGCAAATTTATTATAGGATTTGGGTATGAAATATTGAAACCGGACCAATTCAAGAAAGTCATTAAAACCTTTTATCTCAATTGAAATTTTTTATCTCAATTGAATTGAGTTTCCAAATAAGTAAAACAAAATATATATGTAGGATTGAGCCCCATGTCACACTTCAAAATCCATTAAAAATTATTATCGTCTCTAAAAACTTCACCTTTAGATTAGCTAGGGAACTGCCTTGATCTAAACCCCATAGAAAATGTATGGAAGCTATTAAAGAATGAAATTTTTTCTAGAAAAAGTCACAAATAAGACCCAATTCATTTTGACCATAATGGCATTTTGATCATGATGGCATTTTGACTATAATGCACATTTAAAAGAAATGGCTTTATATTGTATTTCTAGGATGCCGAATCGTCCACATGCAGATATAAAAAATAAGTGACGATCAACAAAATATTGAAATTCGGTAAAACAGTTTTATTTCATATACAAGTTACTCCATAGTTTATGCAAAATTGATTTGATAAATGGATTCAGGTTAGAATCTTTGAAGCTATATTTAACCCACTTCCCGACTAGCTAGAGCTCTGAACCTGATGACAATGCAATTTAAAACCATTTTCAAACTTCGCCAGTCAATATTTCTCTCAATTTCAACAAAATAAAATTATGGGTTGTCGAGAGTATGATGCGTCACATATGTATTACAATTCTTTTTTTAATACACTTAGCCTCTCATGCTCAAATGCCCATTCTCGCCTCTTCGTGGCCGATCTGTCATTCCAATCAATATTAGAAACCAAGTAGGAATGGCATAAATAGATATACTATGATTTGCTAAAAAAGTGTGATAAATAAATTTATGAATAAATTTTAATGCATTAAATTTTCATTGTGTAAAGAAAATTTTATTTTTTAACAAAGCCAAGCTTGATTGCATTGTAATTCAATATTTTAAATCGTTTCAAAGATTCTAACCAAACAAATTTAAAAAGTAAAAAATAATTTACAACAAAAAATGAATTTTTCTAAAAACAACGCTTTCAAGCGAACTAAAAAGTAAAAAATAATTTTTCTTTGAGCTCGTCAGAATGTCTGAGTATATTCTTCTTATAATGATGACAAGTTTGATACACGTAAATTTTATAACAAGTTTGATACACGTAAAACGAAAAACGTTTAGCGCAAGTGGTGATTTGATAGTATTATGACATTATGCGGTATAACATTTGATTTAATGTTTGTGTGGGTGTATTCAAGTGTATCTATTATAATTTAAATATAGTTGGCCATTTTAATGATCAGTGTAGATATATTGCACTGATATATATAAACCATTAAGTGTTGGTCGATCACCAATCTAATATCTTATAACATGTGCCTAACGTTTTTCGTTTAACCTGTATCAAATTTGATATAAAATCTGTCATCATTATAAGAGGAACATGCTCAGACATTCTGACGAGCTCAAAGAAAAATTATTTTCTACTTTTGCATTATGCTGTTTGAATAAATCAATACTTACCCTCAAATTAAAAACCTCCAGGTTTTCCCAAAAGATATCTGCCTATAAAAGAAAATTTTATAAGCAGCTGATACTAATGACAAAAGTTATAGTCGTCAATTTTACGTCTAGGGAAAACTATTTTTTGTACAACAATAATACGTCTTAACACACGAGTCTTCACAGAACAGTTAATTTTCAACAGAACACATTAAAAACAAAAGGTATTTAAAAAATACATTAGAAACAGAAAGGTGAAATTTTTTTTTTAAAACAGCGGGAGAGGGAGTTGTCATAAAAAAATACGGCAATAATTATTTTAACTAAATATTTCAATATTTTCAATAAAAAAATTTGAATGACCTTACAACAGCCTAAATTCTTTTAGGGGGAAAATCATATAATAAAACATAATGTTGATAAAATAAATAATTTGATTATATTTACATTAAATATTTTTACGAACTAATCTATTTAACCAGGTATAATCAAATAATTTTAATGCTAACAGATTGTCTAAGGATTTAGTGTTTTCAGCCTATAGTCAGTCACATACTGTTTGATCTATCATTCCATGTTGAAATCAATAAACAACTTCAGAGGCGGCGTTTGTTTAAAAATTATCATTGGTGTTCAACGAAAACTTTGGTAAAATTCATGAAAGTAAACTTAAATTTCAAATTATTTCAAATTTCTTTGCAATGTTTTATAAAAAAAAATTTACTTATAATAAGCAATTTGGTTGAAAATATTTTAAATATAAATGTAAGAAAGTAAATAATGTATGGTCAAGCAAACTTAAAGTCTTGTGAATTCACTTTAAATTTTCAACAACAGTTTGAAAATGAAAATCTACATCAGCAGCACATTTATTTTCAAGGACGTTCCAACCAACAGCGTACCCATATTGAAGAGTATTACCACCAATGCTACTGTTATGGACATTTTTCAAATATATCATGCAATCAAGCACATCATCAGAATCACTTCATTTATTATGGTAAAGAAAACACAATGCTTAATGTTAATGGTTCGTTTAGCGTCAATGAAGATCATTTATTACCATTATTAAGTTATAATAAAGTTCAACACGGCGATGAAAGTAAGTAAAGATAAAGTTGCAAAAATATTTATATAAATATTTTTAAAAGATTAGTCACAAAAATATATAAAATATATTAATGATAAAATTAACTTTAATATTTTATAACAATTACAGTTTTTAACAATTTTGTTTTGCGTGTATTATATGTTGTATATTATTTGTGTATCGTTCTCTCGATCATGGTCAAGACTACAATATCACGGCTACAGGTGTTAAAAAAACAGTAGCTTCAGTTAATATCAGTTCATTTGAACTATACGAAAGAATAAAAAAATGGTTTTTCAAATAACTTTGTAAATAAAATTTTAGATCTTCTTGTGGCACCTAAAATAAAAAAAAAATAGGAAAAATAAAACATTTTTTAACATTAAAAATGTAAAAAGCGTTTAAAATAAAACATGCTTTTTTGTCAATATGATCATACTGACATTAAAACACGTTTTTTTTTTTAATTTTAAACTTCATAATCATATTGACAATAAAGCAGATTAATTTTAAATGCTTTTTATATTTTTCAATGTAAAAAATAGTTTGTTTTTATTTTCTTAAATATTTTGTTTTAGGTGCCCCCAAGAAGAGCTAATTTTCTTGTCACTGAGCACCGTGGAATTGCGATAGGAAGTTTACACCCACATCAAACCTTGGGTCTATTGCTTTTAAAGCAACCTCTCTAACCATTGCGCTATGGTTACTTTGAAACCGTATAAAGTAATAATAAAACAATATCGCAAAGTTATTTCATATAAAATACAAACATTTCAAACAAACATACAAACATTTTATAACAAAAAAAGAAACACGCGATAATATTTTATGCAGCTTTTGCAATAAAAATTTAATACCCTTTTTTGTGTGTGATTGTGTTTGTGTGTGTGCACACACACAAAAAAAAACAACATAAAAATGGTTCAAAACTTAGTTAGAATCTAAAATAAAACTAAACTAAAATACATAGTCAATTATCAAATTATATAAACTAGTAAAAAATGTATATATATAATATTTAAATATAAATTATATTTAAAAAGAGAATAAATAATTTAGAAAATAACCACAATTTTCGAAAAAAAATATTTTTTTTCAAAAGGTAACCAAAAAAATATTAATTCGGAATTAAAAAAAAAAGAAGCAATTTATTGGATTTTATGCTGTGAAATAAATAATAATATAAAGATTAATTGTGGTATTATGGAGGAGGAATTTTGAAAAAAATTATATTACTAATATAATTTTTTTCAATTTTTTTTAATTTTTTATAATTGCTTTTAAATTATTATAAATAATAATTTAAAAGCAAAGGAAATTGTTGTTAAATTGCGACTTGTATGTCCGAAAAAGGCAAATAAATATTTTTTGAGTTGAAAAAGAATAAAACATAAAAATAGAAAAAAATGATAAAAAAAAACTACTATGCTATGGTTTTAAAAACCATAGTTTTATGCTATGGTTTTAAAAACCATATTTGGTTTTAAAAATGCAAAGTTTGCTTTGCATTTTTAAAATCAAAGTTGACTATAATTTTTAAAACCAAAGTTGAATTTTTAAAAGGTTTACTTTGTCTTTCTAGTTTTTTTAAAATTATCTCAGGAAATTATAACAGAAAGCAATTTATACACAAATAATCAAAAGATTTAAAAAAAATACTTTTAGGTCCATTATTATTTCAACTTTACGTAAATGGTTTTCATTTTATATAAATAACATCATCAAAAGTATTACTTTAATCTTATTTGCGGGAGGAATAAGCGCAAATTTCATAAGTGCGAACGGGCCTATATGCATAAGTGCGAACTGGCGTATGTGCAAATTGGAATAAGTGCGCCAAAAGAATTTGCAAACATTTTCATAAGTAAACAAGTTCGCATAAGTGCGAACTGGCATAAGTGCGAAGCAGTTACAAAAACTGGCGTAAGTACAAACTAGCATAAGTGTGAATTGGCCGAATAAAATTGTAAATATATACATAAGTGCAAATTGGCAACTCGTACTTATGCTAATTCGCACTTATGTCAGTTAGCACTTATACCAATGTTTGTAAATTAATTCGGCGCACTTATGCCAATTCGCATTTACGCCAGTTCGCGCTTGTGTCAGTTTTTGTAACTGCTTTGGACTTATACCAGTTCGCACTTATGCTATTCGCACTTATGCCAGTTCGCACTTATGAAATTTGCGCTTATTCAGTCGTCTCCTTATTTGCACTAAAATTTATTTTATTCTCATTGGATTCTCATTAAGATATTGAAGTTCTTTTGTTTAACGATGAATTAGAAAAGATAAACAATTGATTTATAAGTAACCAACTTTTATTAAACGTAGAGAAAACTAAATTTATTCCATAAACCTAGTAAAACCGACAATATTTCTTTTAAATTACGTAAACTTTTAATCAATAACTTAATAATTCAAACGGGGTTGACAAAAAACTTTCTAGAAATATTTTTAAATGACAAATTGTCCTGGAAAATGCATATTTCCATTTGCCCTGGGAATATTTATATTCATAAATCCAAGAAATATCAAAGTAAGATCTCACAAAATATTTCCATGTTATATAATCAAATGTTAAAGAACATTTAATTACTGACATGATTTGATTAATGACAATTTACTGCTAAATTCGAGTTAACATTATTAGAAAAACTGTTTACTTTCTCAGCTTTTTTTTTTCTTTCTTTTGCTATAGATTGATTTACCGTTTTTTTAAAAGTACATTTCATTATACACATAACTCTTTAAATAGCAATCCATAATAATAATTGTACGCACCTAGACCATCAAGACAAAATTGTTTTTTTATTAGAAAATTTTATACCTTGCCACTCTTCTTACCATTTTATCTGATCCTTTGTAAGTTCTAATCAATCATAGATGTGTTTTCATTGGTGCTTTTCTGTCAAAGTTTTTAGCTTGTCACAATAACTTAACGTGGTCTCCAGATCTCTTTATTATGTATGAAACATCAAGTGAGTTTCTAATCACAGTTCAACTGCGTCCAGTGGCTCTAACCATTTTACTAATTGGGTGCCCCATTTTCTCTAAGTTAGAAAGCACTTTTTTTTTCTGAGCTCAACCGTGGAGTAGGGTACGTCATGCTTCTAAAAAAATTTTAATTAAAAAAAAAAAAACATTTTTGGGGAGTTATTTTATTATGTGTTAGGTATTTCTCAGCAAAATTGAAATAGAACTTTTATTTTTTTGGGGAAAAAATGAACTTGAAAATTACAATATTTAAATAAATAAGGTTAAAATCAAAACAACGGATAAAGTTAAAAAAAAGTTATAAGATAAAAAATAATTTTTTATTAGACATGGTTATTAAAACATTTTACCAGTCAAAATTGTTTTTTAAAATATAAATATATATATATATATATATATATATATATATATATATATATATATATATATATATATATATATATATGCATTATTGATTTGAAAAAAATACTTTTTATAGTACTAAAAATCCAAATTACATAAAAGTTAGAGTTTTGAATTACATTAGTTCATGGGCACCAACAAAATATTTTTTTTTAATGTTTTAAATGACATGTTTGCAAATATAAATTAAAGTTTATGTTTATGCTTTTCCCAAATGAGAAAGGTTTGCAAAAAATGGCACCAAATAAAGTCTGGAAATAATAACACCGTAATAATTTGCTCATGCGTGTTAGTTCATTTGTCCTCATGTGTGAGGATGTTGAACTCTAAAAAAGTATAATTTAAAATTTAAAACCAACAGATAAATTGATTGAAATTGTTATAAGTGAAACATCAAAATGTTTTGTGGATGCACACGGATTTGTCAAAATAGTAATATAAAATTTTAAAAAAATATATGTTTTTATGGAGAATAAAATTTTCACTAAAAACCACCAATGTTTGCAAATATAATTGCATAAAAGATTTAATTAAACTGCAAATATAAATGCAAAAAAGATTTAATTAAACTGTTTTGGTGATTTTCAATGAATATCACCAAAACAGTTTAATTAAATCTTTTTTGGATTTTAAATTTGAAACAAAATCTCTGTGCTCTATTCTTGCTCTAATAAAATAATTACATCTTTGAAACCATAAAAAATAGCTGCTGCTTCAGTCACTTGCTTAACAACTCTTTCACAAGACTAGGTATGGAGAGGATAGTACTTCCATAGGAGAGTTTATTATTTTTTGTCATATTACTCGTAAAATTTGGCTTCAAGATTTGTTTGTTACTCCAGTCAATGAGTTCAATGAGTCAATGAGAATTATGGCATCAAAGCTAATTGTAGATTTTTTTTTCAATATCTTGCATCACATTGCTCTGAATCTCCTCTAACTTTTATTATCATCTTGACTGCAAAATACTTTCATTTGATGAGCTTGCAAGAAGAGAAATAAGAAGAGACTCAGAATTAAGACGAAATGCCCCATTTTCAATAGACTAACTAACGGCATCTAAAACTTCGACTGTTTGACATTTAATAGATAAAGAAGTTTGATTAGATGATGGACCCATTAGAAATAGAGTCCTTTACCTTGATTCTAAACCACATATGAAAGTATACTTGAGCCACGAACTGAGAAAGAACTTTTAGATTTTTTAAAATACCACCTTTTAAGCTATGTTTGTTAATCTAAAATCAAAGATCTGCCTGACCAGTTGTGAGCAACCTGCTTTGGCAAAAATTTTCTGTTGACGAGAGAAGGATTCAGAATATGTAATTCAAGACAAGAAACTAACTTGTAGCTAACTTGTAGTCCTTGGAGTTTTTAGGTTCACCAAGATTTGCAATCAGGTGTCTCAAAAGTAGCTCATTTGTATGTAACATGCAAATTGATCAAAAACATTTTCTTCCAATAAGTTTCTTCAGGTGAGTTATTAGTCCGCCGTTGTTACTAGATCCAGTCATTGAATTTGTAGAATCTAATCTAATCACAATTATAGTTTGATCGAATCTTCTTGAAACCATCTAGTTATAAAGACCAATTGCAGCATATTTAGCTGGTTC